TTTAGGATACCCTGTCGAGATTTCCTCAGTAAAGTTACAGACTTGTGTATCCATGCAGGTACTTATTCAGTGAATGTACTTTTACAGGTACCCCAAACAGTACATACATCAGTAAAATTACTGAGAATTTTCAAAGTACCCATATTGGGTACCCTGCTAGAGCTTTCTCAGTACATGGGTACCCTGAACTCAGTACTTTCTCTAGGGTACATTCTTTCCGTATAAGAGTAGTTAAATCGAAAAAGAATAAACTGATAGTGCCTATATGCATATCGACTTTTCAGTCTACTTTAATACAATACAATCGATTCTTTTTCTTTTCAATACTGCCTGCGTGTCTGGTCCGTCCTTGAGTTGGATATATTACTCTTTATGAAATAAACAACAATAACCCGTTTAGAAATTAGCCAAGATTCACTTAATTATTTTTGAGATAATTTTAATTCCTCCCTTCGTGTGAGCAAAATGTCATTCATAACTCCAGAACAATGTGTTGAGTGTAGTATTTTTGAGACTTCTCGTTTATCCCATGTCATCACATAATCTCCGAAAGGCTTCTTAGTATCTGTACAGTAGATTTAGTTAAAGCATCGTATTTTAATAAACTTAATAATTCTATTGGATGATTTTTTTTATAATTTTTTTCTCTATTTATAAATATCTTAGAAAGAGTTTTTTGAATAGTTTCACTTATTCATTAAAACAAAACACATAATTTTTGTATAGATGGCACCACCATTCTGCTTGATTATGTGTTTCTCAGAGCTGATTCAGTATCACTAAAATAATTTTCAATTTATACATAGAAAAAAGCAGATTTTCTTGTAAAAGAATTATGCCATGGAAGTGTTATGCTAGTTTTAATTGTTCATTATTAAATTACCAAGTTATTTATTCTGTGAGATCGAATTGAATTTGCGCAGAATAATTTTTTCCGTAATCCTTTTGTATCTTACCAAATCTCTTGATGTCCTAATCCTGATACATTCTTCTTCTTTTATACTCTGACTAATATCCCCTTATCGTTTCGTTTTTGTTTTCTCTTGACTATTATTCCTTTGCCATTTCGTGTTAATCTTTTCTACTATCAAATCACCTTTCCTTTTGTTTTACTCTGATTATTATTCCTTCACCATTTCATCTGTTTTATTTTTGCTATTATCCAATCATTCTTCCCTCTGTTTTACCACAACCATTGTCCCTTAACCTCTTTGTCTGTTTTTCTCCAACTTTTATCACCTTACCTCTTTGCTTGTTTTGTTCATACTATTATCTACGCGCCCTTTCGTTTGTTTTACTTTGAGTATATCTTTCTCTTTTTTTGTGGTAGTGCTACAGATATAGGTGTAGCTTGCTTTTACCTAGTCATTGAAAAGTCACCAAAAATTATACTTTTGCTTCCTTCCTTTCAGTGTTAGTTGTTTTACATATTTTACCCTAAATATGTATCTCATTCATTCGCATCACTGTACTTGGTATTTCTTCATAACTTCATACTCCAGATTTACGATATTTTTCCTAGAGAAGTGTCGTCGCTACGGTGCAAGAAGTCGAAATACTTAACATAATCTAATATCTCTTTCTATTTAGTTTTGTAATGAAATCTTGCATTAGGTTGTTGTAGGTATTGATAATACAGGATTCATTTCTTACTTGTGGTTAGCATTTTTTTTTCGACAGAAAAAGGTATTAGAGTATGCTAAGTATTTCGACTTCTTGCACCGTAACGACGATACTTTAGAAAAATTTCATAAATCTGGCCGAGAACGAAGTTATTGAGAAATGTTAAGTAGAGTGATGCAAATGAATGAAATACATATTTAAGGTAACATATGTAAAACAACTGATGCTGAGAGAAAGAAAATAAAACTACACCGTTTAAAAGCGTAAACATAGAAAGGAGCAATGTTTTATATAGATAAAATGCATCGTAGTGGACGCATTTTGGTTGATATGTAGCCGTTTTTTACCGATAAAATGATGCGTTTAAACGCGTTTTAAAACCTGAGTTTAACTTCTAGCGAAAACATGTGAACACAAAAATAAACGCGTTGAAACGCAAACTTTTTAAAAAAATTTTTTTCGTGGGTAATTTGGTATAACATTTTATCTTGTCATTTTTGCGAATCGGAAACTGAGATTCCTTTCTTGCTTTCAACATCAGATTGTACGAACTTTCGAATCTTTCACGATCATGTACACTGAGATATTTTCTTTCTGCTTGTATATTATGTGTCTGTTTTAATTATCCTATTTATTCTTATTGTCTATAATCAGCTTTGTTTAACACATTTGAAATACTTCTTTTCAGAATATATTGCTCTTAGAGTGCAGCCCAAATGCTACAATTCTTCGCTGAAAAGTTTTATTAATCTTCACATATCCATCAAAAGCGTACAGAATTACTTCTTTTTTTTAAATAATTCAGACAGTTTCAACTATTTATTTAACCCATAAAGTAGAGCAAGAGAAATAAACCATGTAATGGTTTTTTAACACAACTAATTAATGTTATTTTTGAAAAGACGATGGCGTTCTGTTCTATTTCTTCTGTTCTATTCGTTTTCTTTCGTTGTGTCATTGCTCGGTATTTATGACGCAACATATGGACTACAGATATTTTTCGCTCTAGCAGCAGGACGATGTACGTGAGGCACAGTGCATTCTTATGGATTTAAGCATGTGTCAATATTCAATTCAGTTGATGATCTGTGCAAAGAAGTGAGGATACACTAGTCTTTCTCATCTTACTAAACGATATTGTTTTAGCGGAAAGAGATGTCTTAGATAAATTATTTCTTGGAATCCTCTATTTTCAGATAGTACCCGCATGAATCCATTATGTATAATTGATCATCATCGGCATTAATTAAACTAACTATCTAGTATCGAAAGGATTGACAATTGATCTCCTGTCTTTTATCTATTTACGACACATGGCGTTGCCCGTAAAATTGCTTTCAGTACGTCGGACTACGGAAGCATCAACTCAGAACGAGTTCATTTGGGCATGTGAGACAAATGGCGAGTGGACACCTCTACCTGATGCCATATCAGTAGACATCGAAAAAGCCTTTCGACGTAACTTCGAAGAGATAACTATTGATGAACTGTATCGAATTGATGTTAAGTACTTCTTAATAGAGCAGGTTAACGAGTTAAACCGTAAACAACGAATCCGACGACAACGACGTTATCTGAAATCATCAGTTTCTCGTGTCGAAACGATCGAAGCTGAAGCTCGACGTTGTGAACGATTCTCGTGTTCTTTAGTGCTAGTTTCACGCTGTAGTGCGAGTGTGGATACAAATTATTATGGTTCACCATTTATTGCTGAATGGTACTTGACATTCACCGAGGGGAAACGGGATGTTACATTCGATTCTATTTTTCCTGTTCTTCTGCAGGGCTTGCGTGAAGAAGGAAAATCAGAATCAGAACGTGTAGTACAAGATATCGTGGATACTTTGAACGAGGCCAGAAAGAAAAGTCTCAAGATAAAAGAGAAGAAGAGAATGGAAGTGCTGGAAGATTATTGTGCTAAACTTTATACAAAAGCATGTTTTGTCTTTCGCACGGTTAACGACGCATTGCGCGATAATGATCGTACTAAACTGAAAACTCTTGGACCGTACTGCTTTCTTCTTTACAACTACGTCGGTCGACATATGAACGATGATTTTCCGATTCGTCATCGTTTTCAACCAACTCTTCGTCTGACCCGATCTCAATCAATGACTGTGTATCGGGGCGATTATATGTCTCACGAACTTTTAGAAGAATATCAACAGGCAGTAAGAGACCATTCCAAATATTTCAAGTGGCTCTCGTTCGTTTCCACATCACGCAAGAAGGATATTGCGGAACTTTTTGCACGAAATAGTTTGTACATTATTGAACTACATCAGTACTTGTTGAAAGATCAATTTACAGATTTGTCGAAAATAAGCCCTTTTGAAGAAGAAGAGATTCTATTACCACCAGGAGCACGATTTCAAGTAATCAGAGTAGAATTCGATGATATCAAGGATCAACATATAGTGTATATTAGCATTATTCGATCGTATGTGTCCGGTTTGAGATAACTTTTTGGTTTCATTTGTACCAAAAATCAAAATACAAATACAATCTCAAATGACTGGAGAATACTTTAAACCTCCGAAATGTACATACTTCGGGTGCATGAAAAGTAGCAGCAGTGATACTATATTGCCAAATGTAAAGTTGGAGACAAATTTCTATTCACATGTAAATACTTGTAGCACTAGCAATAGTCTAAGTTTCTTTAATACATCATTATTCTTCTTTGGAATCATAATAACAGTCTTGCTGAAAGTTACTCCCTGTTATTTTAGATGTATAAAGCCAATTTTCGTTTTTAAACTCAAATGTGTATATTAAGGAGTGTGGGTGTAGACGCTATTTATTTTTCACACCCACACCCAGAATGTTGATCGACAAGCAGAGTTAAAGAAGCAACATAAAAGACAAAAACAAGATATATTATTTCTTCTATGTCCGAATTTTGAGAGTCAAGAAAGACCAGTCGCTTTCAAGCAATGCTTTAAAGATTGGTGAAAGAAGTTTTATGCTAATAAATCACAACTAAAGCATGTTAATATCGACGTGTCTTCTCATTTTCGAACATAAACTCGAAAGTCAAAAACTGTTAAGTTCAATTTCGTATGTTTTTTCAATACATATTATTCAAATAGAGCGCTATCTTAAGCAAGGGGAACAAACTGATTACTAATACTAGTAATCAATTTGTAATCACGAGTAATCACCAGTAATCACGAGTAATCACGAGTAATCACCAGTAATCACTAGTAATCACCAGTAATCACGAGTAATCACCAGTAATTACGAGTAATCACCAGTAATCACCAGTAATCACTAGTAATCATTAGAAACATGCATCATTTATTGCGGATCATTGAGCATGGAAATAAAATTAAAAGCTGTTAGCGCAATCCCTGCGGAATTAAAATGTGAAATACGATGCAGCTGTTGTTGCTACTTAGGGCATACCAAAAGTAATAACGCCGACACTGTAATAGTTTACATAAGGGTGAAGGAAGTTTTCTTTCTATACAGTCTGATAAAGAAAAGAATGCTCTATTTTTCTATGCTGTTTGATCATACTTGAACTAATATCATAAGAATAAAATTTCGATAAGAACTGTTTTTGTGTACAAGTTCACTAATATGCAAGGCAAATTAAATGGCCACGATTTGCATTTCAGTTTTCNCCCCACCACCACCCCCCCCCCCCCCCCCCCCACGCCCGTATTACAGACCTCAGCAATCGAGAATAAAAGGTGTTAGATTTTCCAGATAGTTTGTTTTTTGGAAAATTGATCAAGTTATTATTTTGAAAAATAATGAATATCATTATTTGTGACTTGATTAATGTATATCATAGTGTGTAAGATCTGCTGTAGATATTATAGATATTGTAAAACACACTTATTTGTAAATCAATTCACTGATTGTAATAATAAGAATGATAAATTAAGTAAAACGAATTTAAAAAAATGAAAAAGAATGAGCGAGTAGCAACAATGAAAACAAAAATAGGGCGCCGGTAGAAAAAATAAAAAGAACTTTGATCAAAATGCAGAAATTGGAGAAGTTTTTACTTCTGATTGTTCTGCAAAACAAATACAGTTTACGAGAGATTTTTCATTTTACGTTTTTTGTATTACTTTAATGAGCCTAGAGAGTATATGTGAGTTCCATATTTCAGCCCCCAAACGACCTGCGCTAACAAGCTTTTAGTATACCTAATAATTCTATTGGATGATTTTTTTTATAATTTTTTTCCATTTTTGAATATCTTACGAGTTTTTTTGAATAGTTTCACTTATTCATTAAAAACAAACGCATAATTTTTGAATGGATGGCAGCACTATTCTGCTTCATTAAATGTATTTCTTAGAGCTGATTCAACATCACTAAAATAATTTTGAATTTATACACAGAAAAAACAGAGATTTTCTTGTAAAAAAAATTATGCCACGGAACTGTTATGTTAGTTTTAATTGTTAATTATTAAATTACCAAGTTATTTATTCTTTGAGATCGAATTGAATTTGCGCAGAATAATTCTTTCTATAATCCTTTTTTATTTTACCAAACTTCTTGATGTCCTAATCCTGATATATTCTTCTCCTCTTATACTCTGACTAATATCCCTTCATCGTTTCGTTTGTTTTACCTTGACTATTATTCCTTCAGTCTTTCGCGTTTATCCTTTATACCATAAAATTATCTTTCCTTTTGTTTTACTCTGATTATTATTTCTTCATCCTTTCATCTGTTTTATTCTCGCTATCATCCAATCATTCTTCCCTCTGTTTCCCCGCAACTATTGTCCCTTCACCTCTTTGTTCATTTTTCTCCAACTTTTATCACCTCACCTCTTTGTCTTTTTGTGCATTCTATTATTCACGCGCCCTTTCGTTCGTTTTACTTTGAATAAACCCTTCCCCTTTTTTGTAGTAGTGTTACAGATATAGGTGTAGCCTGCTTTTACCTAGTCCTTGAGAAGTAACCAAAAATTATCCTTTTGCTTCCTTCCTCCCAATGTCAGTTGTTTTACATACTTCACCTTAAATATGTATCTCATTCATTCGCATCACTCTACTTGGCATTTCTCCATAAGTTCGTTCTTCAGATTGACGAAAATTTTCCTAAAGAAGTGTCACCGTTATGGTGCAAGAAGTCGAAATACTTAACATACTCTAATATCTCTTTCTGTTTAGTTTTATAATGAAATATTGCGTTAGGTTGTTGCAGGTGTTCATAGTTCAGGATTCATTTCTTACTTGTGGTTAGAATTTTTTTCGACAGAAGAAGGTATTATAGTATATTAAGTATTTCGACTTCTTGCACCATAAAGACGATACTTCTTTAGAAAAATTTCATAAATCTGGACAATAAAGTTATTGAGAAATGTGAAGTAGAGTGATACGAATGAATGAAATGCATATTTAGGGTAAAATATGTAAAACAGCTGATGCTGAGAGGAAGAAAAGAAAACTACACCGTTTTAACGCGTTAACATAGAAAGGAGTAGTGTTTTATATGGATAAAACACGTCGTAGTTGACGCGTTTGAAAGCTGGTTGTTAATGTTTTATTTGACAAAAGAAGCGTTTGAATGTGTCTTTCGAAACGCGTTTGGTTTATATCTAGCCGTTTTTACCGATAAAATGATGCGTTTGAGCGCGTTTTAAAACCTACGTTTAACTTCTAGCGAAAACATGTGAACATAAAAATAAACGCGTTAGAACGCAAATTTTATTTTTTAAATTTTTCATGGGTTGCAAATGCTTTTGTGAAATCAGAGAAATTCAATACCAAGAGTGATCTCGCTCTCTAGGAGAAATCCATCGTTTTTAATTCATACAATATTCTGTGTTCTTTTCTTTCCTGCCACTTGTGCAAGTATGTTTTCAAATTCAGCTTTAAAAATTGAGAACAAGACCTGATCCCAAAACTCTGTTGACGGTGGGGTAGCGATTAGTTAGTTTTTGCATGCGTAAAGATCGTATATAGCAAATACATCTAGTGATTCTGCGTAAATGACGAAAACCAATACTTCGTCTCAAACGATTTATCATGCTGCTAATCGCAAGAGTGTGCATGATTGTTTTTTATTCCGATTGCCGTGATCACCGAGAAAATTTATTTTTTTGTGAACTTCGGGGAAAACAGCAAGGATTTGGGTCGAGATCCTCAATGGTCCCTGTAAAAGGCTAGTCTCAACGTAATTATTATCAGATTCGAAAACAACCTCAAAAACTGAATCCATTGATATATAATTTTAATGCTGAATTTGAAAACATACTTGCACAAGTGACAGGAAAGAAACACAGCAGTGTCACATATCCTGCAATTTGGAGAAGTGCTCACATCTCTGCCGGGAGATGCTGCATTTTCAGCAGGAGATGCAGCATCCAATGTGGGGGATGCACATCTCTCAATGANAAAATAAAACAAAGAATAAAGAAATATATTTTTCTGTGATAGGTAAATAGAGAAATACCTTGTATAACAATAGGATATGTTAATCAATATTCTTTCTTATCATTAACATCATTATAATATGTGACACTATGAAAAAAGTCAAGCTGATATATGAAAAAAATATATGCGAAAAAAATTTTACTCTATATTTCATGTCCATCTATGGTATCATAACTTTTTGTAGACTACTTGATAAAAATTAAAGAATATATTCTCATAGAAAAAACAATGTTGCTTTATTATTTATTTTACCTTTATTTTATAATGATAAAGATTTTTTTAATATTTATTCTTTATTATAAAGAAAAGTAAAAATAAAGCAAGACCCCTAATTAAGCAACCAAAAGAAAATAAACTTTCGAATTTACAGCTAACTAAGAATCCTTAATAACAGTTATAAAATCTAGCGATAATAGAATGTCAATATTCATCTAAAATCTATAGATGTATTAGCTACCAAAATCTCTATTAAAAATTAGCGTTTAACTCAAGTTATGAATCATCGACTTCGAATGATTTTTCAATTCTTTTCGGTAGTCAAATATTTATTAGCTATCCGTTTTCTACAGTTTACGACACATTCATAGGATAACATGATCAAGAATACCAAGATACTCGAAAAGAGCTGCCTAACTCAAATGTAAAAAGTTACGAGGGAGCCTCTAATGCATCCCTTTTTGATTTCAATGATTTGTTTGTCTATAGATAGTCTATAGTGTCATAGTAAACAATCTAAAAGAATTTGGTTACACATTCAGATTCGACACAATTATTAGATTTTCAAGAAGAGCTTGGAGGGGATGTCAAGTGTTCGGAAAAAATCGATTTTTGAATTTCGACCTAAAAATTTCCGCATATAGAGATCTCAGCTAGAATAGCTTACATAGAAAAATTCAGAAATTTTATATAAAGTCTTGCTGATATACGGAAATTTCTTCTTGATTCGTACGCCTAAAATGTCAGATAAGTCAACCGAAGAAGAATCCAACATAGACTCATTGAATCAATGACGATGAAACTATTTATTTTATTGTCACTAGAGAAATATGTTGCATGATATGTTAGGATAATTATGAACGTGGCAGATCCTCCATCCGTTATATTTTTAATTCCAAAAGTTGACAGATTTGAGAAAAACTTCTTTCAATAATTGATAAGAATGAGATGCATGTGTCATTATCTGCACTAATGAGCGGAAACTCTAAGTCGTCAGCACATTTTCTTCGTTTCTGTGGCACTACACCTACCTTTAGCTATTCAAATGAACACTACTATATTAATTTGATGTTTTTATTCGTCGACAAACAAAGTTCGCTTGAATGAACGACATAATTCTACTATGGCTCTTTCTAAATGTGTCGCATGAATGTGTTTCTTTCTGCTTCAGAGCATTCATGAAAGTGCTTATCACGCACGTATCTTCCAGTACAGCTTTGTAACTTACAACTCATTTTAATGCTCTCATGCGAATCATCTATGCACAATGGGTGTTTGATGACAGTCCAAATGAACTAGAGAGATGAGACTGAGCATAAATATTTCTCTACAGTCGTTCTCACTTTCAACGTCATCAATGATTGTGTATTAGCAAGAAAACGACAAACTCACCATGGCTATAACTGCAGTGTCTACTTCAAATGTGAATTCAATCGATACCCATAATGGCCTTATCATAATGCTTTTTCTCTACCGATGAATTGTGATTCGCCACATCAAAAGCAACTCTAATAGTATATTGATTATAAATATGAAGTTTCAATTTAGCGCATGAAAGAGAAATTATTAGTTACTCATTTTTTACCCTAATAGGAAAGCTAGATTCAGATCATGTGATGACGAAGATAAAAGTTTCTCTTTTCATATTTCGTGTGATTATTAAGTTTATGTTAGAAGACTTTTAATCGACCAGAGAAGAAATCCGAAACATTATCATTTTGAAATCAGCGCAACAGAATACTTTTCGTGTACCTACTAGTCTATTAAAGAAAAACTATTCTTCTATTCTTACTTTCATATTCTGTATATATCAAACTAAAACTGTGTCAACTCAAAAATGGTTCCGAGTTCGATATTTTGGGCTACAATACGTCTCGTTTTACATCTTTTCTACTCATTAGAAACATTACAAACTTTTCTTCAGTCTTCTTCTCGAAGACAGTTACTTCGATCATCCAAACATCAGAATATTTCGGACGGCAAAAGGTTAATAAAACCAGCTAATCCACGGCATCTAAACATATTTTCTGTCCGTATTTTGCTATTTGCTGCTCAGAGGAATTTTATGTGAAATGGATGGTAAAATATTCGAACTCTCATGTGAAATCTTCGTGCATCGAAACGCATTCAACAAGACTAAAATGAAACGTCTGACGCGTTCATGTTTCTTTATTTGAACCAAAGCCATCTTGTGCTCGCAGATTCGTGCTGCGTCACCATCAAGTTTACATGATGGTAGTGATGCACCACCCTAGTCGGACTGGGATCCAGCGCTACTGGATATTCAGTAAACTGATCTAGAATTGATTCAATGATCAGTATTTCTATTTTTGACCAACAGTTTTCAGCATCAAGGAATTCGAAGTTGAAATCAGAATTTCAAAATTTTGAGTTTGACCTTTTATGCAAAAACTATAACTCTTTCATTAAAAAAAACTATTGTCTAAGCAAAAAAAATCAAACTCAAAATTTTGAAGTTCTGATTTCAGATTCGGATTCATTGTTCCCGAAAATCGTTGATCGAAAATAGACATATTGATTATCGAACCAATTCTAGATCAGTTTACTGAATATCCAGTAGAGCTGGGTACCCAGCCGAGGCTGGAGCTGGTGCATACCTACACGGTAGTTAGCTCTTCCAAGAGAACAGGACAACTATTATAAAATTTTGTAAACAAACTTTAAAATTGTGCAATCGCTGAGGCTATAACAGAAGACATTTGGTTATAATTCGGCATGCCTAAACGAATGAACCCCAATTAGCCTATGACTGTGTCAAATACATCTCTATTTTGATAAAGCAAATTGTAGTATCACGTGAATGGTATACAACACGTGTAAAACACAAGTTTAATTGAACTACCATTTGTTAATTAGTTTTTATATTACTTTAGAAAAGATAGGATTCAGAGAATTTCAAATTAAAAAAAATTGAAATGGACACAAGTTTGATTCTTATAAGATAAAAAGAAAATGTCAGGGAGGTTATCAGCTGATTCGAGTATTTTCCAAAACGATTCGTCTCAGTTCGTGAGCCATCTCAGGAATATTGTGAGCCAGATACAGCTCGCAGAGCTCTATCCAATCGTGCACTCAGCTTTTCGATGAAAGCAAAAACACTAAGTTTTCACCATAGGTAAAAAGAAGAAAAAAGGATTTTCAGTGACGATTCGCCTGACCTTGTGAGCCACTCATGAGACAAAGCTCATTCGATGCAGCTCAATGAGCTCTATCCAATGGTATATGTTTCATTGAAGTGAACGCAAGCTATTTTAAGAATTTCGATTGATGGAACTTGAGTATGATTGTTGCATCGTAATAGATCATCGTCGGTTTTTATTAAGTTTTCTTCGTAAATTTTCAAGGAGTCATATTCTTGTACTTTTCAATCTATTAAATATATAATAAAATAATTCTGTAACAATGATAAATGAATTAGCTTACCCATTTCGGTTCGCTTCTTCTCTTTCAATGGACGTTTGATACTGAGAGTTGGATCATCATGCTTTTGAAGTTCTTCAATATTTACTCGAAAAAATAACATTATGGCCAAGTACTACAGCTTTTGCCGTCTCGATCTAAACCTTTAAAGAACATTTTGGATATTGACGTCTGGCATGACAGGTAAATAAAGACGTATTCCGTGTACGAAAATTTCTCGTTCGTAATTGGGAATAGTAAAACCAAGACTGCATGTAATTAATTTGTTAGCAACAAGTTTATCATAAAATACATCTGTTCATGAAGAGTTCATAAAATGAGATTTCGGAGATGTTGAATCTTTGTGATAGATCTAAAAGGGAAGTCATAACAATGGTCATTGTTCGTATAACAAAACATCCCTATTCATGCAAAATAATCACAACTTACTTTTCACCACTCGTTATACGAAAATTCAATTAAGTGTTGTCGTGATCCATACGGCTTATTTAATGTATTCGATGAACTTGAACCATTTGATCTTGTTACGATCTTCTTGCAGCTTGCAACTGGAGAAAGCTCAGCATCATTTGTAACATTGTTTGTATTGGATGCATCTTTAATAAATTGAGATCGAAGTTTAAATGAATTTTTATGCCACGCGTTATAAAGATATTTTCGATCAGCAGATGTGTTTGGAAGCGATAAGACAGGTTCCAGATTAGAAGCCACTTCGAACCATAACGAATTTCATGATCGCCACTTCCCGTCGCCACCAAGTTCAAAGACTGTTTCTCCCAGTTTCGATACAGCGACTACTATTTTGTCACAGGGATGGTTACTTTTCTATGTGGCGCCCCTTCGTCCACTTTCAAAGATTTTCGCATGCCTAAAATGATATACAAAATAATTTAACTAGCAAAAAATTATACGAAAGCCAACAAATGAAAAGCTACTAAGATCACCTGATCCGAATGGAACTTACAATTTTTCTACCTGAGGCTTCAAACAAATCGACACATTCCCAAAAAACTTCAATCTAACAATGAATTATTACCTTGGTGGTGATTATTGAATCACAGTTTATCTTGAAAAACCATCTAGCAACGTTGTTGAAAAAACAATAAATGTTACTATCGAAAAAATTTGTGTACGCTATTTCTCTAACTGAATATATTATATCAAACAAACGAAATGATTCTGAAAGAGATCAAACAGACTTCGTGCCGTTACTTTAACACAATCAATCACCATCAAACGCATTCTTCGATTACATGTTTCAGATCATATTTAAAAAAAAGAAAACACGTTAAGTACACATCAAAGAATAGACATAACCACCCAACTAATAATCTTGCCATATGTCGGAAAAAATATGTTTTGAGCCCGCAATTAGCAAACAATTGAGCCGATATCGTTTTATTTGAGCCCGAAAATATTTCATGGGCTCAAAAAATGTTTTGTCTTTTAACAGCTCGGAAAACGGAATGAGCCTGGCTATAGTTTGATTTGAGCTCGAAGTATAAGAAATCGTGAAGATGTCGCTTATCTGATGAAATTCGCCTCCACAATAGATACATATATTGCGTAATTTGTGGAATTCGTATTCTTGGAATACTCTATGCTTTTGTTATTAAATCATTTAAACGTTTTACTATGACCAAACGGATGTGAAGTTTCGTCGATAAATTTTTCAATGAAAATTAGTTGCAATCGTACGTTGCACAAAATAATGTTTCAGTAAAACGCACAGAAGAAACTACAATCGAGAAGAAGATCACATACCGATGTTCGAAATGTAGAAAACATCCTCAATGTGATTTTCAAATCAAAGTTATTTTCAATGATAATGTTGAAATAATTGTTCCAACATCCAATAAACATAATCATGATCATCGTGCAACAACAACACGAGTTCCATTGCCAGTTAGAGATATTGTTCGACATGCTGCTATAGTCGATCTTTCTCAATGTCAAACACGTCGAACAATTCAAAACCAATACGAAGGGACTGTTTCACGTTTACAAATAACATGTTTATTAAATTATCACCGATCAATTCCTGATGTGTATTCAGTGGACGATTTTCGGTCATGTTGCTATGAACGTTCAAGATTATATTCAGATATAATATTAGCACATAAACCGTTCGTTGCAAAATATTACATTAATTCATGTGATGATTTATTTGTATTTATAACAACACGTAAATTAATTTCAACTGCTCCATTATAGAAATGTGTACTCATAGTTACAGGTAAAATAATATAGAATTTTTTATTAGTATATATGACTGCTATGTGTCTTAGGCATTCGATACGATATTCAATATTTATTAGTTGACGGCGCAAAAGGTATAACAACTGCCAAAGATTTTGAATTTTCAAACTGCAGGCATCTTGTGTGTTGAACACATGCTATTAGAAAAATACGTGAACGTCGAAAAATGGTTTCAGTTGAAAAATGGAAAATAGTGGAAACTGATATTTTAACATTGCAATTATCCTTTGGTGATGATGCTTTTGAAAAAGGTACATCATTATTATTGACCGAATGGAGATCTGATCCGGATTTATTTTATTTTTCAAGTTATTTTGAACAAACATGGTTATTTGATTTAAAATTCTGGTACGAAGGCGCCGTAATCGGATGTCCATCAACAAACAATGGTCTGGAATCACTGAATAACAAAATAAAACAGCAACTGCATTAAAAAATAAACTGTGCTTATCAAAATTTCTTGCTGCCATGAAAATGATGTTACGTGAATGGTTGACAAAGAGAGTCGAACATGATTTTTAAACATTTCCAAAAATTAATATTGAAATTGAAAAATTAGCATGGATATGGTTTAAAGATTTAAATGAAAAATCAATTATACATTGGCATGGGCATTTTTATATTGTTCCATCGACCAAACCCGAACATTACAGTGCATCTTTGTGGTTACATGAATATAGAACATTACAATGGAAAACATTCGACGACTTTTCAAAGTGGTTATTCTCTGGTCGTCTTGTTACATTGCCAATGATGTGCAGCTGTCGAACTAATTTGAAGACATATGTGGGTGTGGGATGTGAGGTGTGTGAGTGTGAGTTGCTTCTCTTCACCAATACCCTTGACCTGAATCTCGAGTGTATGCATTTTTTCCGTCAATTTTATGATGATGTTGCTTTCAACTGAGCCTATCAGGGTCAAAAGAATGCATAAAACTATTATCAGTATATTTGAACTTACTTCAGTTACATTGAGCAAGAATTTTTCCGCCGCTGCTTATTCCTCTCGGTTTAATAGATACATGGTTTCCTATCCGTGCATTCAATACAGCTTTAGAATATGGCCACAAATGAGAATCCCAAACCTTGGATAAATTGATGCGTTGTAGCATCTCAGTCCCAGTATCATAAGACTGTAGTACAAAGTGGCAAATACTGCTGTTCTCATCTGCGTCTAACATCATCGGAGTGACATTGCCACTTTTTAGTTCTCATCTGTCGGTAAAAGAGTTAATGTAAACAGCTTCAGCATTCTCGAACAAGTTCGAATCAGGTCCGACAATGTTCCGAGGTAATTGGGCAACCAGAAAGGAAACAGCACTTTGCGATTGACTCTTTGTTATACGTGTCTTCGTAAAGTCTATCTTCTGCAGATTGACACCAGAGAAATTAACCGTGGTCAAGTCGACCCAGATGAATATGGCATCTTTGACATTGGCATGCCAAAAGTCAGACATTGACAAAACAGCCTCATCAAAAAGAACAATTATCTGACGAGCTCGTTCAAAATTCGTTTGTACCATCTTTGTTTTAAAAAATTTTAACTAAAACTAAAAATATTAGTGGTTATTGATTGAACAAAAGAGAATAAAAACTCTAGCTTAAACTAAGTAACACAGACGATGAAAAGCGAACACTCGCGAAAATAGATCCTGAAAAATTGATCCTGCTTAGAGTGGCAAATGAAAGATTGACATTCACATGTGTAGCGGATGAGAATTGAACATGACTGATCTCAGTAAATGACAAGTTAATATTTTCAAGCTGAGTGTTTGAAAAATTGGTATAACTTATTCTAGCAAACGAAAAGTCAGCATTGAAAAGCTTGGTGTTCGAAAAAATGGCATCTTCAAGTTAGACCGATGAAAAATTAATGTTGTCGAAGTTCGACGATCGAAAATTTGCATTTTGTAGTTTTGTGAAGACGAAATGAACATATTTCAGTGTGCTTGATGCAAAGTCGGCGTTGATGAATCGTGCGCGTGTCTTATCAACGTTGTCGAACTGAGCGCATGAATGGCGAACATTATGCGACCGATTCGAGGAAAAATTAACTGCTTTTAACTGAGTAGATGAAAAGTTAACATCTTTCAATGTTGCAGAAGTAAATTCAATGTGCAGTAGTTCAGCATATGCAATCGTCACATTGCAGACCTCAACAAGAGAAAAACTCACATAAGCTACTTGTGTGGATGAAAAGTCAATATCAACCAAAAGCATTTGGTTCAATGTGTAGTTACGCAAACATCCACTAAGGATAATTTGCCAATTTTACTTACAGTTTTGAAAATGCTACTACTGATGTTGATCAGTTCCCCTGTGGAAATGTCCAATGCAACACTTTCGTTTATGGTAATTAACTGTCTTGCTTCGTAAAGAAACCGGATAACATTGAAAACGCGTGTTGCGCCAAGTTGTCTGACAGTGTTCAATGTTTTGGCACGAGAAATCATGGCCATGATTGAATTAGATGTGAGTGAGCCGTTAGTCTTTTCCAATAATTCACCCATATCTTTGATATAAATGAGAAGCGAATCATCTCGATATCGTTCAAGTGCTATTCTCCACTGAAGCTCATTTTGCTCTGTTGCTATCTTCCATTCTTGTTGTCGAATAATTTCTGTTTATTGATCACTGGTACTAATAATAGTGAAAACGCCTAGCACAAGAGAAAGAATCAGTGAAGAGATCAATGTGAGAACATCTTTCACTGTTAAACCAAATAATTGTTGCGATTAACGTCGTCTATCGTTTGGTATTGTTTGATCTTGCTCGCTCATTCTTTGTCTTTTCAACGCTCTACAGAGATGAATTGGTGTTGATAGGGAGATATTTTATAGCCTTAGGTCGGGTGTGAATGGAATGTGTTTTACACGTATCACATACATGATCATTGTCAAGCTAGATTCTGATTACTGACAGGAACCATGTTCCGATCATGTTTCTTTCACTTCCCCAATGTATTAGATTTTCACAATGAGACAAATACTTCGCAGATTTCTTGCAGCAGCATTTCACATGGAATGAAACGATCACAATCAGAACTCGAAGAAGTATAGGTACAGAAGGTAAAAAGATTTACTTGCACTTGGTTTGTGAAGAACAAGCTGGGTGTGGCGTGTTGGTTTGGGTGGGCAAATGTATGATGAGAAGATGTACACCTAAACCCACACCCCACAGTCACATTCACACCCACACCCTGGTTAGAGTAAGAGGGTGCGAGTGTAGTTAAAGGCAAGAGTAAAACCCACACCCACAATAACCCGTTTAGTATCTGTCCAGTAGACTTAGTTAACGCATCGTATTTTAATATACCTGATAATTCTAGTGAATGATTTTTTTTTATAATTTTGTTTTCTATTTATAAATATCTTAGAAGGAGTTTTTTGAATAGTTTCACTTATTTATTAAAACAAAACACATACTTTTTGTATAGATGGCACCACCATTCTGCTTGATTATATGTATCTTTCAGAGCTGATTCGGTATTACTAAAAGAATCTTGAATTTATGCATGAAAACAAAAGCGATTTTTTTGTAAAAAATTTATATCATTGAAGTGTTATGCTAGTTTTAATTGTTTATCATTAAATTACCAAGTTATTTACTCTTTGAGATCGAATTGAATTTGCGCAGAATAATTTTTTCCGTAATCCTTTTTTATCTTACCAAACCTCTTGATGTCATAATCCTGATATATTCTTCTTCTCTTATACTCTCACTAATATCCCCTAATCGTTTCATTTGTTTTATGTTGACTATTATTCCTTCGCCCTTTTGCGTTAGTCCTTTCTATTACCAAATCACCCTTCCTTTTATTTTACTCTGATTATTATTCCTTCACCCTTTCGTCTGTTTTATTCTCGCTATTATCCAATCATTCTTCCCTCTGTTTTGCCGCAACCATTCTCCCTTCCCCTCTTTGTCTGCTTTTCTCTAACTTTTATCACCTCCCCTCGTTGTCTGTTTTGTCCATACTATTATCCACGTGTCCTTTCGTTCGTTTTACTTTGAGTATACCCTTCTCCTTTTTTGTAGTAGTGTTACAGATATAGGTGTAGCCTGCTTTTACCTTGTCCTTGAAGAGTCACCAAAAATTATACTTTTGCTTCGTTCCTTCCAGTGTTCGTTGCTTTACATATTTTACCCTAAACATGTATCTCATTCATTCGCATCACTCTACTTGGAATTTCTTCATAAATTCATTCTCCAGATTTACGAAATTTTTTCGTAGAGAAGTGTCGCCGTTATGGTGCAAGAAGTCGAAATACTTGACATACTCTAATATCTCTTTCTATTTAGCTTAATAATGAAATCTTGCATTAAGTTGTTGTAGGTATTGATAATGCAGGATTCATTTCTTACTTGTGGTTAGCATTTTTTTCGACAGAAGAAAGTATTAGATATGTTAAATATTTCGACTTCTTGCACCGTAACGATGATACTTTACATAAATATCATAAATCTGGAGAACGAAGTTATTGAGAAATGTTAAGTAGAGTGATGTGAATGAATGAAATACATATTTAGGGTAAAATATGTAAAACAGCTGATGCTGAGAGAAAGGAAAGAAAACTACACCGCTTAAACGTGTTAGCATAGAAAGGAGTAGTGTTTTATATGGATAAAATGCGTTGTAGTGGACGCGTTTTGGTTGATATGTAGCCGTTTCTACAGTTAAAATTATGCGTTTGAACGCATTTTAAAACCTGCGTTTAACTTCTAGCGAAAACATGTGAACATTAAAATAAACGCATTGGAACGCAAACTTTGAAAAAAAAATTTTCGTGGGATGACATGATATATTTGAATCATAACCGATGGATACGATTATCTGACCTATATAAATCATTTTCATGTTTTTGATATTCAACATTCATAAGAGTGAGACAGATTGAATTGCTAACTATATTGATAGGACTTTTTCTCAAGTTCGATTTCACGAAAAAGTTTCGTATTCGTACTGCTATTAAAAGATAAAGAACTTTGTGCAAATTTTATTGATCTGTTCTTTTTATAAATATATGGTGTTCTTCTATAGCATTCAATATAATAAATGGCACGAAAAAACGCTATTTGCTCAACCAGTAAATCAGAAATCTGCATAGCCCAATTTTCGGTCAGCTGGATTGAGTTTAAAAATTTCGTTCTTCTAGTGAGATATATTGAATATTTTTGTGTATCTTCTTGTGTGTTCTTACATTTCTTAAGTAATTTTCTCACAGCTTGGCTTCACAAAAGCGATTCTTTTTGTGTAAATAGATGCACAATTTGAAGTTGCACAAAATATGTTCTTTATATAATCAGATCTCATTTCTAAGCAAATAACAAACTTAAAACGTTTTTGTTTACATGAAAGCACATCAAAAGTTGATAATTAAGAATATTTTGTAGGAGATTTTAAACACAGTAAGACGTAGTCCTAAAACAGATT